GAAAAGATCCTGCAGCAGAAAGATCCTGGCTTATGCTGGGGTGTGGAGGGGATTAAATCAGAGCTGAGACAGAAACAAAGAGGCAGAAACTGGAGGGTCAAAGGAGGCCAGGGATGTGCCCAATCCTCAGCTCTGGTGATCAGGCAATTAGCAAGCCAAGCATGAGAATAAATAATCCAGCTGAAACAGGGAGAGCAGGACAGAGCTGGGGGTAAGAAAGAAGGAAATCAATCACCAGACATAATGGAGAATTATCCAGGAGAGAGTTCTTCCTAATCCCATCAGGAGCTGGCTGGGAAATAAATTCTCCTGGCTCTGCTGCTCTCAGCACGTTTTTCTGGGTCAGGGCTGGGCTGGGCAGGCAGGAGGGCTGGGCTGGAGGAGCAAAGGCAGAACCAATGGCTGGGTGGGCACTGAGGACACCCAGCAGGGTCCCTACAGAGCATCTTCCCACCCCACAGGACCTGGCACACACCTTGAGGGTCCTCAGGCCTCAAGTCATCACAACAAGAATACCACCTATAATTAAACACAAAACCAAAAAATAAATTTAACCACGTACAGTATTATTTATTATGTGTAATTTGTTTTTTGAGTAAAGATAATTTTATGAATGGGTTTGTTTGTACTTGAAGCAGAATTGATTTAAACTGTTTTTTTAAACAGATTTTTGATATGTATTATTGGGATTTTGTTTTTGTTTATTGTATGTAAGGATTTAGATTGGGTAGGGCCTGTTCAGTTGGTAGAGTTTTGGGTGTTAATTAATTAGGTGGTTTTTGTTAGATGTTGTTTATAATTTTTGAAAGATTTCTTTATTTAATGTTTTTAAGGTGTTTTTTAATAGTTTATTGTATTTTTAATTTTGTTTGTAGCTGGTGTATGGTAGGGGATATGGTACACTTATTTAATGTTTTTTAGTTTAGGCGTTGATAAAGCTGTTTTTGAAATGCGTTTTATTGTTTGATTTCATTTTTTTAGGGGTATTATGTTTTTACAGGATTGTAAAGTGGCCAAGTGACTGTCCCCAACAGCTCTGGCAGAGCCCAGCTGGGCTGTGACCATGGTGGCCACGTTCCCGATGTCACCCTCGTGTCCCTCTCAAGGCTGCTCAAGCAGAAGCAGATTTTCCTGGCAAGGCACAGGAATGGGGAGGGGAGCATGAAAGGAGCCAGGCTGGGCCACCACGGAACGTCCCCAAGTGTGACTTCAGGGCTGGCTGGAGACCATGGAGAGCTCCCACAGGAGTTTTATTTTGGTGAGTGGCAGCTGCTGCTCCTCCTGCTCGGCAGCCCCAGGTCCTGGGCAGGATCAGCCCTTCCGTGGTGTCTCCACAGAGCTGCCTGCCCACGCCAGGATCCCCGCCCATCCTCAGCAGCCGTGGCCACAGGACTCTGCAGCCTCTCCCACGTGGGAACTCCCAGCCCTCGCAAACTCCACGGAACCCCAGAACCGAGGATTCCCTGAGCCACAGCTCCAAGGAGACAAAAGGAGAGAAGCCACTGCTTATTTTTAGAGACAACCTTATGATTCCTGAGCACGTGGCCCAGGCAACACTGCACAGGCAGCCCCAGATTGGCCACAATCTGCTTTTCTTCTTGACAGACATCACGTCTGAATCTCTATCTCCACAAGATGCTCCCAGGAGAGGAGACATTTAGAGACGACCACAATGTACAACATTTCTGAAAGGTCGCTGCCTGCACCAGGCAACGAGGAGCAGGAGCCACTCATCAGCAACAGGGGTTTGGGGAGGTGTTTAATATTCCATGAGCATCTCTATTTCTCTACCAAAGTGGATAACTCTTCTAAAAGTAGGGGAGGGGAGCAGGGCAGGTGGGTGCTGGGCTCTTGTTTCCACCCAAGGTGGGTTGGCTGAGCCACCAGTCAGAGCTGAATCTCCACTGCTGCTGGGAAAGGGTGGCTGAGAGTGAACCTGACCTGGGCCTCAACAGCCTCAGAACCTGCTGGACCACACGAGAGCAGAGGCTGAGCTTGGTTCCCCCTCTTCAGCTGCATCCCAGACCACCTTGTTGCCATTGAGCTGTTCCACTGATGCCACCAGGAACCCTGGAGTTGAACTTCACACAGGGGCTGTGGTCCCTGGGTGGACAGCAGGGGCTCTTTTATTGAGGGTTCAAGTGAGAACTTTTAATTTGCAGAAGCCCATTAACATCAGGGGCAGGATAAGGGGGGGTTGGGAGGCAATGCAGGGTCACACCCCATGGCCCACAGCACTGGGACTTCCTGATGTTTTCCCATCCCAGCCTGTCACCAGGACCAGGTGCTGGCCACAGCCCCCAAGGCGTCCCTGTCCCTGAGCAGCAACACAGCCAGGAGAGGCCCCAGCAGCAAGGTGACAGCCCAGGTCTGGGAGACTCCCACTGCAAACCCAGCTTTGTCCTCTCCCACCAAAACTGGGCTTTGCCAAGGTCCCCATTCCAGCCCAAAGGTGCCCATCCAAACCAACCTGTGGCCAAGGCTTGCCCAGTCTCAGATTTCTCCCCAGCCTGGGAGTGGGGACAAGGAACCCAAACCCCTGGCAACTGTCCTGGCACCTCAGTTGTAGGGCCCACCTGACATTTGTTGCTGCTGGATGTACAAACCATGAGAGCCCAGCGGCACAGATGTGACAGTCACCACAGGCACACAGAGAAAGGCAGGGCCAAGCTCCTGCCCCCACAGAGACACAAACACAGAGCATTAAATGAGAGAGGGGCATTTGCTCCTTCCTCTGCAGCTTCCTCCCCCTCCTGCCTCTCTTCTGAGCTCATCCCTCCCTCCTGCACCAAAACACAGCCTGGGAGCACACCAGGAGCAAAGCCAGAGCACCGAGGGCAGCGTGGCTGAAGGGACCCGGGAGGGGACAGAGGCAATGTGCCAGAGCCTGGCCAGGCAGGACATGCCCAGGCCGTGCTGGGGACACCTCCGGGGGTGGTGTGTCCCCCATCACCCAGAGCAGCAGGGAGGGTCCCTGTGCCTTCGCTGCTCCAAGGCAGCAGCTGGGTGGGGAGGGAGGTGCGGGGCAGGATGATGAATAACGAGGCAGGGGCTGTGCCGAGGCTCCTTTCGGAGCGCTGATGATGACGCTGCTCGGGGGCGTGCGGAGCGCTGGGGATGCTGACGCGCAGCCACCCCCCAGTGCCAGCACTGGTCCCAGCCTGGCCAGCGGTGCCCAGCAGAGCCCTGCCCTGCTGCTGGACGGTGATTTCCCGGTGATTTCAGTGCCAGCTGCCTCCCACGGGCTTTGCCCCAGTACACGACCTCATTTGTCCAGCCGGCCCCGCCGTGCCAGCCCTCGTTAGATCAGCTCGTTCATTAAGCTCAGCACTTCAGTGATGCTGGCCTGAGCCCCTCAGGGGGCTGGCACATAAATCACACCCTGATCGCTGTCACTGGCTGCCAGTGCTGGACCTTTGATGGCAAAATCTCCTCCTAATCCCTCACCTGAACTGTGGTGACACCGGTCAGGGCAGTCCCAGCCACCCCTCCAAGCTCCTGGATAAAACAATGGCTCTTTGCAGCCTTCACCCTCAGGAAGGACCCTGCTCCTGAGGGCTCAGCCCATGGGAGCCTTCACCCATGGCAGGGGGTGCCCAGCGAGCCCAGCTTCCCTCTGGAGACGGAGCTTGGAGTTCTGGCTGCTGCCAGCCAATCTCTGCACCTTGGCAGGGACATCCATCATTCCAGAGGCTTTAATCCAACTAGACTGCTGGACATGTGTGCAGAGGAGCAGACTGACAGGCCAGACTGATGGACAGCTGCCTGCTCCAAGGCCAGCAGGGACAGGCAGCTGTGGCTGGAAAACAGCCCGGGCCCAGCAGGACTGCTCAGCTCTGCAGGAAGCAGCTCCGAGCTCTGGGAGCAAAGCTCTGCGGGGGCAGGGGGGGCACGGGGCAGAGGTGGAGCCCCTGCCCTGCTTGGAGTGGGAATTCCAGCCAGGAGGAGCACAGTGACAGCTTTCCCTCCTGCTCCCAGCTCTGCTCAGCATCAGTCCCTGGCTGAGTGCATTTTTAAAAACCTGTCTACAGCTGCTGCTTCATCGGAGATTTTATTGCCATCCCAATTATGATCATGGGAGCAGCGAGAGCAAAATGCCATTACAGGGGTGAAATGGCTCCTGACATCCCAATCCATCCCTGTGGCGCCAGACGGGAGCGGGACTGGGACCAAGTGCCTGAAATAATCCTGGAGAGGGGAGGGGGACAGGGGGGTTCACCCCAGCCCTGCTGAGACCCTCCTGCCTCGCTGCCCAGATTCCAGAGGGGCCCAGCAGAGCCCGGGGGGGTCCAGCTGTGCCATCCCCAGAACTCCCCCGGGCTGCAGGATGGCAGTGGTGACATTTGGAGCGAGACATGCTGGCGTCAGTCCCCAGATCTGCGGCTTCAGGGCATCAGCTGGGGCACCAGGACAGCAGCTCCTTTCCCGTGTGCAGCCCCAAGACGATCCCAAAATCAGAAATCTCCGTGGTGGCAGGGAAAGGGGACAGCAGGGCCTTGTGGCTTCACTCCCTGTCCAGCATCTGGACAGCAGAGCAGGGGCAAAGCCTCCAGAGCTCCTCTCCCAGCTGATGCACTCCCAAATCTCAGGAAATCCATCCAAACCCCAAACCACTGCCCCTCAAACTGATGCTTCACAGGGATCCTGGCACAGCCAAGGCTGAGGGGCCAACAGTGGCCAAGGCTGGGGTCCCTGCTGGGGCCCCACTGCTGCCTGCCACCAACCCTGAGCAAGCAGCCGAGCTCAGCACCTCAGAGCTTCACATCCCAGCTCCACCAGAGCGACTTCTTGCTCGTTCTGGGGTGGTGACAACAGGCTGGAGATCTCCCAGCTGGACCACAGGACAACTGTCTGGCCCAGTGCTCCTGCTGCACAAGGAGGTGGGGACAAGGAGGGGGCTAATGCCACCAAGCAGGGATGGCCATGAGGTAAAAAGGAGCTGGATTTTGAGTGTCCCAGTGCACAATCCCCAATCCCACTGGAGCCCAGGGAGTTCTCACCGTTCTGCAGGTCCAGGGCTGCTCCGACATTGGGATCTGCTGAGGCATTGGAGCCTGGGAATGTTCATGAGGTGAAGTGTCCAGCACAGCCAGCCTCGGCTCCTCTGCACAGAAAGCACAAGGAGACCCCTGTCAGTCACCTTCCCCCAGTGTCCGCAGCAGAAATCCCAAATAAACTCCTCCAAAGCCCAGGGATGTGGCACCCAGGCACTTCCCAGAGAGGGGGAGCATCCTCAGTGCTGCTCCAGCCAGATGTGTGACCTCACCATTGCAGCTTGCCCGGTTTTATCTATATAAACATATATAAAAATATAAAATTACGTCACACTTTGTGCCCTGAAGGATCCTTTCCCCACCAGGAGAGTGTCGGAGCCCAGCCCTGCCGTGGGTAGCTCTGGGTGGAGCAGGGAAGACACGGCCCTGCCCTTTGGGAATCCTGCAGGGAATGCAGGAGGGGAATGAACCCACTCAGTGCGTGCCCACAGCCCAGGAGGCCTCGAATCTGCAGAGATTTCATCCAAACGTGCAAGCAGAATTGTCACTGCCCGGACTCCCAGCCCCGTGTCCTTTGGGCATTTTAGGGGACTGGGGGGGTCGGGAGATGCTCCCAGCACTGATGCAGCAAATGCTGAACAAATGATTTGCTGTGGTTTGACTGAATTGCTTTGAACTCTCTGGCTCAAGCTTAATTTGCCTGTTGCAAAGAAAGGGGGAATTTAAATAGCTCCTTTTGTGCAGAAATCCTGGTTAACAGCCCTCAAATGTCCCCGGCTCGGGTCCTGCTCAGTGACACCCACGCAGAGACGCTGCAGCTGCAGCTCAGCTCAGCTCTGTGCCTGCTCCAGACCTCGCTCAGGGCTGGAAGGTGAGGTTTGGGTGGGCAGCAGCAACCAGGGGAGTTAACTCCTGCTGGGAGAGGCTTGGGGAGCCTTAGGTGAAGGAGGTTTCCACGGCAGGGATTTGCTGGGGAAGAGGAGCCGGCTCTGCAGCAGCAGATGGCCCCGGGGGCACAGGGACCACACCCCTGGCACATCCCGGAGCCAAGAATCCCGGCAGGATGGAGCTCTCCAAACCCCAGTGGTGTCCACAAGCTGCTTGTGGATGGGTAAATCCTCCCTTTTGGGGTTCCCACAGAACTGACAGTGCCCAGCGCTCTGGAAAGGCTAAAATTCCTCCAGGAAAGCAGCACCAGCCCAAAGCTGAAGCCAGAGGGATTCCCTTCAAACCTGCAGGTTTGGGCTCAGCCGTGCAGGGACAGTGCTGAGGGTTCCACACTCCTGCTCACCTGTGAGGCTGCAGGACTCCAACCAGTGCCCAGCAATCCCAGCCCATTCCCCACTCCAGAACACCTTCCCATTGTCTGCTCTGCCTGAGAGAACCATTCTTCTCCCTGGAATGGCAGGAACCCACAATCCCAGATCCCAGAAGGTCCCAGTGTCAGTGGGATACACTGAGCCCTTCACCCCGTCAGTCCCTGAGTGGCAGGGATGCAAATCCCATGTGGGATGCAGGGAACTCAGTCAGAGATGCTCCCCAGTAAAGGAACAGCACAAAACCCCCACAGCAACAGAAATCTCCTGCCCTGGGCACGCCAGAGGTTCCTGCTGGAGCCAGGGGATGCACCAGCCCCTCCAGGAGGAAGGGCTTGGACAACAGGGACAGCTCAGGGCTGGCAGGATGGAAAAGCCCAGGAGCACAGCAGGATCCATCTCCTCAGGAACCTGCCCTGCAGCACACAGGTGTGGGAGTAACTCCGACCCAGCACCTGAAATAAAAGCAAGAATGATCCAAACCAAGCCCTGAGATGCAAAAACGACCCAGAAACACCTGAGCCTGCCCTCAGCACGTGCAGGGAGGAGCTTGTGGCACCTCCAGCAACTGCAGCTGGCGCAATCCCACAGGAATTTGCCTCCAGGAGATGCAGTGTGTGTGCTCTGAGGGACAGGGGCTGATGTACACAGATCTGCTGTGGATCCCTGGTGCTGCTCCAGTCCTGGGAGATGGGATAACTGGGAGGGAAGTGGGTTTGGTTCACCTGCAGCACCACGTGTGGGACTCACACACTCAAATATTCCAGCAGCAACGGAGCCATCGCATCCAAGGGTTAATCCCAACCACAACAGCTCAGCTGCTGCTCCCCATGGCCAGGCTCCAGCCCCGGGGATGGAGAAGGTAAAATTTCAATCCAATTCCAGCAGGCTGGACAAAGCCACGTATTTACTGCAGTCAGCCCAAAGGTGCTCAGCTCCTGGCACTGAGCAGCCTCTCCTGCCCTCCCTGAAAGGCTTCACTCCCAGCCCTGCCTGGGCATCAGAAATGGGATTTAAGCTCACTCAGAAACCACCTGGCCTTGGCTTGTCAGGTGAGCCCCTTTTTCCCAGCCCTGGGAATGAGCAGGGGCTCAGCTGATGTCTTGGCATTTGTTTTTGGCAGCTCCCGGGTCACTTAGCAACCTCTGTCTCAGGTTACCTCTGGGGGTTTTGTCTGCAAATACATTTTAATCCTTGTGAAAGGGGACACACCAGCACGTGGGTGAAGTGGCTAAAGCCTCCTTTGGTCCCACGTGGTGACACCAGCACAGCTCCCTGGCCCTGTGTGTGTTTGTGCCACCAGGGCTGTTGTCACTTCCTGCTCCTGTGCTTTGTGTTTTACTCCAAACTTGGATTTGAACTCTTTTCTGGGCTACTCCAGGAACCAGGAGGAGCCAGGAGAGGATTCTCCTCTCCCTGGGTGCCACACAGGACCTGCTTCTCCATCAAGGAGCTTCCAGTTCTGCACACAAGTTCCCCTTGAACAAAGAAATTCCGCAGCAAATCCAAAGGCCAAACAGGACCCAAGAGTCCTGGAAATCAGCAGAAACCTCCAGAGAACCACACCAAGGTGCCCAAGTTGAGCTCTTGTAAGGCAGGAGCATCCCTTGGGCTGTGCAGAGCAACCCTTCCATGCATGGCAGCAAATCTGGCTCATCTCAGAGCACTGCAGAAAGGGACCTGGGGGTCCTGGTCGGTGGCAAGTTGGATCTGAGTCACCAC